GTTTATCTACCAATAGATAATTTAAAAATTTGGGTAACTTTGTTAAAAATGGATTGTAGGGGACTGTGGTTTTTTTTAACTTAGTTTACAGTTAGATTTAAGCTCTGTGAAGAGAGTAGGTTAAAGACATTAATAGCAGACCCTCTACAGAAAGGCACAGTGGTAAAAAGATATTTTAGGTTTTTGTTCTGTCCTTTTGATGTGGAGAGTCCTCTACCATTCTTTAGGAGCTTTCTGTAGGAGGAGGTCTAGGCAAATCCTGCTTAAAACCATGGCCAACTTGCCATCCCATCGTAAAGTTGGAACAAAACAGTTAAAATCCTTGAGTGGAGGATGTCTGTGTAGTATCAATAAATGCCATGTAGATCTGTGTGTGTTTATACACATTTTATATACACATTTGTTTTTAGATGTTTGCATATATTTTATATAAAATATACTGTATTATTAATAGGTGTTACAGTTAATATCCTTATCTTTTATAGTTTCTGCTTTCTGATTATTAGATTATCCATTTTTAAAAGCCAGGCAGTTTAAGACATATTCTCCCTGTCCAGAAATGTTGCTGCTCTGCCAGCTAGATACAACATTAACAGGAAAAGGCAACAGGATAATCTGTTATTTGCATGCTGCTCTAAATCTGCATGTCACTTTACCAAAGTGGATCTGACAAAGAACAAAGAGTCTGCCTTAAAGAACTTGAGATCTAAAAAATCTCGAGTCAGGTTTAACAAGTGTCTTGTGCTTGTTATTGCCAATAGGTTTCAGGAGCAAGAAATCCAAAGAAAGGAGAGTGTGCCGTAATTACAGGTATCCTAAATATGGTGGATTTAGATTGGATAAAATTATCAAAGCTGAAAGTTTGGAAAGAAGGTTATGGATGAGTAAGACATATTTTTAAAGGTGAACATTTTCTTTTTAACAAGACCCTGCTACCAGTTACTAAAGGAGAGCCACAAAAGTCCCTAACTTTTCTGGGAGTGAGAGGGAATATATCTGCTTCCTAAACTCAGGTACACCCATATAGTTTTATTTTAAGGTTCTTTTTGGTTAAACACGTTAGCTCCCTCTTAGGAGGAGGACAAAAAAAAAAAAAAAAAGTTCCTGTAAGGCAAAGAATTCAAAGCTTTATGGACTGTGGATTACTATTAGTCTCTTAATCATAGCTAATATTCAGTTGTAGTTAATGGATTGCTGTAATAGTTTCTATCTTAGAGAATGCATTTTCTTCCTCTTAAGGTTCCCTTTGAGCCATTCTTCCAACATTGTGCTGGCATGAAGAGGACCCAGCCCTAGAGCGGAGCAGGTTTTTTTAGAGCAAAGGCTTCTTGCAGACACAGGCCCTCAAACCTGCCCAGAGCTCAGCACTGCTGCACTGCATGGCTCAGCTCTTCTCGTGGTACACTGGCTTTTCCTCAAAGCATTAGGTAGCGTTTAGGATATATGGACTTCCAGGTGATAAACTGAAGGTGTCCCATGGAAGTATATCATGATACACTTGAACTTGAGCTGTCAGGTCTCACTGAATTGCTTGAGGCCCTGGAGGACTCGCATACCTGAGCCCAGGAGCTGGGTGTAGCAGGTGAGAGATGTAATAAGGAACTGGAATGTCCAAGGAAACCAATGTACTGCCTACTGCTTTTTATTGCACTAATGTGAAATACCAATATACAGCAGGAAGGGAAAGTACACTGAGAAACTGGAGAAGAAATTCCTAGTGCTGGGAGATTCCTTTAAATAAACTTGTGAAAAGATTTATACAGCCTTTGTTTGAATGCTATCAGGGCATTTTTAGTCTTTTAAACCCTTGAATCCCAGTATGCTTACACACTGAAACTGTAATTTACTCACAGTGGAATAGGAAAGGAAGTTTATGTTGTCCTAGCAGTCCTGCAGGCAATTGGTATCAGAAATTATGTCAGTGCAATTTAATGCATCTCAATTGGCTTTTATAGAATTTTAGTCTTTTGCAGTGATGAGAAATTTGGCCTTTGGTACTGAAAACTTCAATTACAGAATGATGAATAGTATGAGAAAGCTTGATTTTTATATTTGAAATGTGAGAAGTTGATAGCAATGATTTTCCCAGGGCTGACACTGATTGAGTAGCCTTCATGAAGTCACATTCCCAGAAAAAATAGTTGTCAAGCCTAAGACCTAGATTTAGAGACACAGTAAAGATGAAAATGTGTGAGCTATACTAGCTTGCCAGAGGGGCATTTCAATTTTGTTCAACTCTTGACCGAAAGGAGAGAACATGAAATATGTGAGAGTGCTGATAGGCAGAATATTTCTATCAAAGGAAAAAGAGGTGACTGGTATTGGAGTGAGTAATTATGGTACAGTTATAATTAAAAATCAGAGAAAAATGGAACAACCATAAAATACAAATTTGTGTTCAGGTTAGTGAAGTCTTCCAAGTCCAGAAAGAGCTAAATAGAAGGCACTGGGTATCTGGCAACTAGAAAGAGATAAAAGAGGAGACGAATAGTTTTATAAAATATATAATAAACCTGTGGCAACCCTCTCACATTTCTGTTTTTACTTTTATTTATTGGAAGACTTAGTAAGAACAACAGCTACAAATATTTATATTAGCATGTGCCCAGTTTAAAGGTTTGAAAATAAAGAATTATAAAACTTTATGCTGTCACAGACAGGCTTGTCCCTTATGGGAAGTTTTCCTTAAGGATTGTTATGTTTATATGTAATGATTGCGTTATTGTTTGTTATTGTAAGGGCTGATTTTAGCTGGTTTAAGCTGTAGGGTAGAACCTTAAAGCATCAGTTCAGTCCAGTTGGGCAGTTTCTGTATCCTGATAATTTAGCACAGAGAATAAAGTTTCCAAAAATAATCAGGTCTGGACTGCAAACCTGAAATACGTATATACCACAAGTTGGCTTCCTTAATCATTCAGGTTGGATTAGTACCAAAAGTTTTCAGGCACTCTTTTGTTTTCTGCCAGTAAATAAATTGTAGGCGTAAACCTACAGTAAATGGGGCTGCTTAGTGCTTGATCCTCTTGGAAGGAATCATTTGAGCAGAACTACATCCTCCTCTGCAAAGGTGAGGAGGAATGGAAAGAACAGACTGCCGAGTGCTGTAACCGTACAGCACAGGCTGTCTGTGGCACTTGACACTGTACGGCATGGATTCTGGCCAGCTTTGGGCAATACCAGCAGTTGCTGCATCCCTTAAAGTCTGGATATTTCTGCATGGATGTGAACACATGACTGAGGTCAGGGGAGATGCTGTTTGGTTACACAATTATGCCACTTAAATTGGCTCATATTTTCAGTTGGCTTTCTTGCGTGGTGACATGTCTGTGTGACTTCTGAAGTAGAATTAACCCACCTTCCACGTCAGAAAAGCAGACAGGGTAACGTGATATTGTACCACCAATACAGATCTATCCTGAGGGTTTAGAACTGTTCCTGGTCTGCACATTACTAAAAATTTGGATACAGAGCCCTTTAAAAAGAAGTCCTGTGGTATGTGGCAACCACTGTTAGTCACAGAGCTTGCTTAGGGAGTCAGTGAGGCCAGCAAAGCCTGTACAAGCTAGAATCCCATGTGCACTGTGAAAATTCGCCTCTTCACTGACCCGAGTCATTGTTTGTTGTTTCGAGATTTCTTTTTCTCCACTATTTTGCCAGCAATCTGTCTAGTGATGCTGCAGTGGAGGGATTTTTGCCTTAAAATAAGAACCCAAGATCTCTTTCCAACTCTAATGTATTAACATCATACAGCTTTGGATAGTTCTTTAAAATGGTTAAAGTCTTTTCTTGAAACAAAGTGTACTTGATTATTGCTCTCAGAGCACTCCAGCAGCCGTATGTGAAGAAAATACCAATACTTGCCATTGCTAGCAGAAATGGTGCTTCCCATATATCTAATAAAATCCTCAAGTGGAGGCCGTTCAAAACCTTATTTTAAAGCCTCCATGAGAAGGCTGAGAGATGATATGAATATGGCTGCAGATAGAGTACAGAGAAGGTCAACCAAGTGAAGCTCTTAAGCTTGGCCTTTTGCAACAGAGCAGGAGTTTACTCAAGGGAAGACTGTTATAAAATTGATTTACAGTAGCATATCAAAATGAGGAATAATCTAGAGAAGGTTTGTCACAGTTTCCTATTTGTCTTTTCCCTTAGTAATTGAGAAAGAGAACAGCAATTGTTAAACTTGCTGTCTTTAAACTTGCTGGGAAGGTAAGAACTTTTTTTTGTAAACATTCAAACAAACTTGGCAGCAATTTCAAGTTTACAGGCTATAATTGAAGCAAATAGCATAGTAATCCTTCAGAAAGGCTTAGATATCGGAAAGAATAGTGGAAGTACTTTATTTTTAACATCTCAAATTTCAAATTATGTAGTACAGTTATTTGTGCAAAGAGAAGGGGTTGTTTTTCTTCTAAGATATCAGCAAGAAATATATTGGAAGCAGGATGTGGGACCACACTTTCTTCTGCCTCTTCTTGATTGTTATTTTTAATCACACCTTCTCCAAAACCTTATATTGCTGGAGTTGAATTGGTCTTTAGTATCTCACTGGCTTCAGTTCAGCTTGAGGAGATCTAACCAATATCAGAAGCTATCTGCTTGGACCAAAAAGTCTGATCTAAAAGCAAGTCCTAAAATATTAGCAAGTTCCTCATGCTTGTTGTGCAAGAGTGACAAATGATGACTATAACTGGCTTGGTTGCTTAATACTTAATTTAGGATGAATTAATAAGGTTATGCTCTACCTCTGCATCTCTTTCTAAATGAATTAGAAATCTAGGGTGGCTTTGCCATTATGAGAATCCAATAGTATACAGCAACTGCTGCATGAGAATCACAAGATTCAAGAGAAGAATTATTATCTGTAATGTCTATCTGAAATATAAAGGAATATAAATATTAAAAAGATGAGTTAGAGTAGCCCTAATGGTGTGAATCAAGATCAGCAGCCACAGTGCACGTCACCAGCCGCTAATACTCTTTTCATTTGGTTCACATAGAAAAAGGAAGAATGGAGAAGAGGAGCAGCCTAAGACCACTCTCAGTAATCAGTACCGAATTGTTACACCCACATTCCAGTATAATATGGACTACAAGAAAGTTGGGAAATGTGTTATTATAAACAACAAAAATTTTGAGGAGAAAACTGGTAAGGTCTTTCCTTTGATATTCATTACAGGTTTTTAGACGTTTTACACTTTCATTAACACATCCATTATATGCTTATACTAGAGCAGCTCTTGGCAGCTTCTTTGCAGTTGACACATCCTTATGGATGTTTTTAAGAGCAAGGTCTGTCAGCTTGAAACCAAACCTTTGCCCCAAGTTTTAGGTTCTGTCTTTAAAACTGGAACTTTCTAATCAGCAGCCCATGTTATAACTTTTCTGTCACCAAGCTACAGCTGAAACATGCAGCTGTGTGATGAATTCACACTCCTGAGATGGCTGAATTAACTTTCCAACTGTGGATGCTTTTGAAGCAGACAGATGATATATGTTATAGTCAATTTTAGAGGTTTTTGCCAGGCCACAATGCCTCTTTTTTTTCTCTGCCTATTGTGCAAATACAACAACAAAATTAGCTGTTTACTCCAAAGAATTTCCATAAGCTTCTTTTTTGTGGACTCATAGTGGGATTTCTTCTCGATATAGAAAGATATGTCAGGAAATGGGACTAAATTTAGTTTTACGTGGGGTTATAACCGCAGCGTTTTTGCTTCAATTTCATAGTTTTTGGTAGGTATTTTAAAGGTATGAGTGTGTTCTTTTTTGTTTTTATTTTTTTTATTTAATGATGCTCAACCCTCTATGCTCTTTATTCTTGGAATGTCTTAGGCATATATTATATTACATAGCCAAAAGGAGGTAGGGCCAAAGAGGTCTCATGGTGCAAAATGTTGGGAATAAGCACAAGGTGCCTATTGTCATTGAATCTTGCCTTTCTTGCATTAAACTGGAGTCTCTCAACTTTTTCTGAATGTAAACAGGTTATTTGAGAAGATTATTAAAGGACTAATTAAAGGATGGTGTTTTAAAGTAATGTCACCATGATATTGGTGTCAATGCCACCATGTCAATAAACTGTAAACCTGAAAAGTTACCTATAAATGTATGAGCTGTTTTATATGCACTCAACTGTATTATTTGTTCTCTGGCAGGAATGGGCACACGCAACGGCACTGATAAAGATGCTGGAGACCTAGCCAAGAGCTTTAGAAACTTGGGTTTTGAGGTTTGCATATACAATGATCGAAGTCGTGATGATATGGAAAAATTACTGAAGCAAGGTAATAATTTAGAATTATAGAACAGGTTAGGTTACAAAGGAGATCTAAAGGTCATCTAGTCCACCTCCCTAGTCAGAGCAAGTTAAATTAGAACAGGTTGCTTAGACCCTGTAAAGTGTAATTTCTTTTTATGTTGGAGGAATTGGTTTCTTCCTCCCCACCTCTGTACAGTTTTTTTTAATAATCCAACTGTGTACAGTTTTCTTCTGTTTTCTTCATGCTGAACTGAGGAGTGTGGTTCATCGTGCCTACTCCAGAGGCTTAGGCTCACTCAAGTGCAGAGATGCAGTCATCACATTAGTGAAAAGTGTCTTCTGTCATCTTCATCTATTACTTTTTCTCTGCCTTCCATTGAAGGAGACATCAAGTACATATGTGGTCCTTGAAAGACAGATTTGCTAATTGACATTTTCATTTAAAATACTGCTTCTTTTGGGCTAAGAAGTGTTTGATTTACAGCTGCTGAGGAGGATCATGGTGATGCTGCTTGTTTTGCCTGCATCCTTCTAAGCCATGGGGAAGAAGGCCTTATCTACGGCACAGATGGACCCATGGCAATCAAAAGTCTCACTGCACTCTTCAGAGGAGACAAATGTAAAAGCCTCATAGGCAAACCCAAATTATTTTTCATTCAGGTAATAGCCTTAAGGTAAATATAACATGCTTTCCCCACTGTAGTAGTAATATATTATGCTGTTTGTGTGTTTTGGAAGAGTCTGTAAGCTTGTGTGTTATGTAATAATTGAATGCTGAGGACAACTCTAGAAAATTGGCCATACTTTAGGGTAAGTTGGATATTACACTTAAGTGGATGCTGATTTAGCATCTTGATAATCCTTTAATGGATTGATCCTGCAAGACCACTACTTTCCTTACCCATTTTCAGATATGGTTCTGCCTGCCTAGTAAAGTTAGTCATCGCTGGGCATTTTTCTCCATGAACATTATTACTAAACACTTAAATAACTTGAGGCATTACTGTTTCTAATTTATGCAAAGTATTGCTTAAAGCTGTGCCATTAAAAAGTGCTAGTGACTACTTCTTTGTGAAGCAGCTTGTTTCTCTTTACTAGACAAGTTGTCGTTGTCTTCTGACTGTTTCAGGCGTGCCGAGGCTCTGAATTTGATGAAGGGATACAGACCGACTCTGGACCTGCAAATGACAACCTGGAAACAGATGCCAATCCTAGATACAAAATTCCAGTAGAAGCAGATTTTCTGTTTGCGTATTCCACTGTCCCAGGTAAAATAAATAAAAAGAATTTTAAAAAAAGGTCAGCAGAGGAAGCCTAGTAACTGGCTCGTTTTTGCTTGCACTACTTGTATCTCTGAATTAGACATCCACTGTTACACTTAAATTTCAACTCATAGGTGTGAATAAATAAATAAAAAAGTGGAATTATGCTCTATGAAGAGCCCTTTCAAACTTCTTGTGTGTGTGTGTCTCAAGCACTCTTAGCACTTACATTTTGGGAAAATACAAATAGAGTGCCATATTGGTTTTCACTGCTGTTCAGAAACTGAATGTGCTGTGGCTAGCACACTTCACCCGTAGTGAAAACTTAGAATCTAAGGGAAATATTCCCACTATAGCGCTATGGAGCTAACAATATGGCAGTATGGGAGTGCTTGTCACAGAAGTGGTAACTTTGAATAAAGTACTTGGCTTTACACTGTTAACTCTGCATGACAGTTGTCATCATCGCAAATCAGCTATCTTAAAAATGTGAGTTGAAGGCAGGAAAAGGAAGCACAAAAGCACCAAGTGTATTCCTGGGTAGGAGAAGCATGGACTCTTACTGCATTTTCCCAAGTGCAAAAATGTGGTATGGTACTTGAGTGCTGAGAGAATCAGTGAGCTAAGAATACACAATATTCTCAGCTTTAATGAACTACATATTACAAGTGATGAAAATTAAACTTTCCATTTACATGTAGTTACTCCTTTAGCCAGAACCTTTCACATAAATTTATACCTCTCTGCCGTTGTACTTTTTAGCATATGACAATAAGGATAGAAAAAAAAAAAAAAAAAAAAAAGGAGGTAAAAACCCACTGGACCTTCTCTCTTTTTCTGTTAGGTTATTATTCCTGGAGGAATCCTGGAAGAGGCTCTTGGTTTGTGCAGTCTCTGTGCTCTGTCCTAAATGAGCATGGAAAACAACTGGAGATCATGCAGATCCTCACACGGGTCAACTACGTGGTGGCCACGAATTTCGAGTCGCAATCGGATGATCCACGCTTCAGTGAGAAGAAGCAGATTCCCTGCGTGGTCTCTATGCTCACTAAAGAACTTTACTTCTGAAAAAGCTTAAATGCAGCCAGTGGCATGAGATCAGGATGTGCCATTGACAGGGAGACTTGATAATAAATCATTGTAGCACAATAGCACATTTTTTAATATTAGAAATGTAATTATACTTGACTTTTATATTGTATAAGCTGGGGTTTCTGAAGCATGGGTGATATGCAGGAATTTAATGAAGAAACAAATGCCTTGGGCCAGTCTTACAGAGAGCACTAATTACCATGTCTTTATTTCCCTTAGTGTGACTATCTTGATTTTTGGGTGCTGAAAACGTATATATCCAACCTATAAGCAAAGAAGGCTTCCAAAATTACACCTATCCTCCATATTATTTCATTCTCAAGAGATGCTGTGAACTTTTCTTTTGTAATCTTTAACTGTTATGTCCCATTAGTGCTTTTTGATTATTTATCCCCCTACCACTTAATGCTCCATCTAATTTCATTCATGTTTTGGTTGTTGATTTTTCTTTTTAATCTTACACTGCTCTTGATGTTTCACCAATATGAAGAGGAAACCTTTCATTGTTTGCTGCTTTAAAGGCTGAGTAGAATAAAAAAAAATGTAATTTTAGATATCCATGTTAGCAGCTACTAGGAGGAAGGACAGACAGATCACAAATTGGATCAGGATAGGATTAAAGGAAATTATCTTGGTGGTTATTTTTTGCTGCTCAGTTTTCACATTCACTAAACACTTCAGACAGTAAAAATGAGTTCAAACATGAAACTAAGAAAATTGGCTATGTTCCTTTCTAGTTTCTGGTGGAAATCAATGGAGTTGTGTTGCTTTGTTTCATGTCGATCCTTTTGTTTTCTTTTTCCTTTTTTTTTTTTTTTTCTTTTCCCCTCTCCCACTTTTCCCCGTCTTTGTGTAGGTAATTGTTGTTGCTGGAGTTTTTTTTTTTTGTTTTGTTATCTGGCTTAGGAAATAGTTGATATATTTTTCCATCTTGGTGAAAGAGGGAGAAATTTTGGTGATCTGAGGTTCAGATACCAGAGCAGTAAAGGTTATTCCTTTTGACTAATTGTTCATGTGTTCTGCTCACCGTTAATAGGAGCAGGCATGGCAATCCCAGAAAGCAGATTTTTTTTTCATTTTACAATCATAAGACTCCTTTGGGCTTTTTTCCAAGTTACTGCTTCACGAAACAGTGACTTTGAAAACTTCCTAAATGCATCATTTTATGGGAATGTCCAGTGACAAATGGATTTTCTAGTTAGCTAAGGGTGTTTCTGGGTCTGATATGTTCAGTCTCCTTTGTGCTTAATTATTAGTGAAGGCAATTGGATTGCTTTGTGCTTAATGAGAAAGTCAAATTTACTTGGGGTATGGTTCTGGCGTAAGGTGGGTAAGTTAATATTAGTAGATGGTTTAGCAGAATAGCATATAAATGAAACCAATTGAAAAATTGTGAAAAAGTTTGGTGATTGAGGAATTTTGAACCAACAGAAAGTTAACGATAAGATTTTGTTCTAGAACTTTAAATGCTGAATTGCTAGAATTATGTGTCTCAGTAATGGATGTAGGTTTAGATTTTATTTCTGTTTATGGGAAGTTTGCCAAGCCTGGAGTACTTGCTTCAGTAGAAACCAGTAGTGCCTTTCTAGCTATGAGATGTCTTCGCGCTGTATTTTGGAGTTGCGATAGTTGTATTGCATTTGTACTCTTTATATTCTCTCTAGAGTTGGTAGCTAACTCAAAAAGCAAATTTATTGATTTGGTTAAACTGATAAAGGAATAGATAGTCACTCTTTTTCTGATTAATGCACTCTACATATTTAGAAAATTCTCTAAGAAGTTAAGTGCATAGTAATTGGTGCCAATTTACTTTTTTTATTATTATTTTCCTACCAGTACTGTGATAGAGGAGCATATTTTTTTTCAGAAGTCAAATTTTAAATTTGTGTGAATTTAATAAGTGACTGTTTTGTGGTAAACTTGAGTATGACATCAGTAAAGACCTTTCTTAAAAAAATGTCTGAGTATCTGCCTATTTAACACCATCTGGTGAAGTGAAAACAAACCAAAATACATCTCAGAACCTTCCAGCATCTTTGTCATGACAAGATTTCCAGTCTCGGTTGAAACCTTTTTTTAAGAGTAACCTGGCACTGGAGGACTTGGCCTAGGCAAGATGCTCTGTTAGAGTAAACTGGAATTATTGAGAGGATTTTGATGGAACGATCCGGAATTACCAAGTCTTGAAGTCTTGCCTAGAGCTTATAATATCTTTACAGTGTAAACTAGTTAATAGTCTTGCCAGTCAAAATGCTTTTCCTATTGCTTCTGGCAAATAGCCTTGATTTAAACTAGTTTGCTGGTGTTAAACTTCTAACTAACTTACAGTAATAGGGAAGGAGCAAGAAAGGCATCATTCCTTGTGGGGAACTGGATAGACAGAGCTAGATAAATATTGCTCTATTCCTGCTAGATAGACCATTGCTTTAAAGCATATCCAAATATTATTGTTAGTATTACTGAAGAATAAAAATTCCCAGCAGCCAACATCATATCAGGCTAGGGATGTGTTTACATGCTGATGCTGCGATAGCCAAATAGCCCTAAGGAGAAAGGAGACCTTGTCCTGACTTGCGCAAGACCAGACAGCTGAATGGGGACTTATAAGCTGTAGGACATTTTAGCCAGCTTTCTGTTCAAATTTATAATGATTTTCTGTCTGAAAGCATTTCCCTTGATAATTGCAGGCTTAGTTGAACAGTTAAGCATGGGGTGAGAGGACACTGTAGTTAATGATTTGCTGGCATCTCTGCTGAGAAGCCAAAAAAATGACCTAGGAGTGAGACCAGTAATAAGTTGACATGGTATCGTAGGCACTCTGCTCTGCGGGAAAGTAGGGACTGTTTAGAAAGCTGAAACAACAAAACAAAGTGGGTTTTGTTTTATTTTTATCTTGTCTCTCTGCTTGGAAGACATTTGACTGGCTCAAATATGTGGCTTAAGTGAACTGCAAAGATCTCTTTCAGCTGGATTTCCCCTTTCAGGATGATCTTTTATTTGCTTCTCATAGAAGAAATGGGAATTTCCTTGTAGGTCATATTTCAGGATGTTTGTATTTATGCAGGAGTTATAAGAAGGCAGTCACAGTGCACAGCAATGGGACGCAGTGACGTGCAGCAGAAAATAATACAGGTAATTTGGAAATGCTTAAGGGATATTTCTCCAAGACCTTCCACACTGTGAACACCTTTTGCCAGTAAGTATTAACACATTATTTTTGCCTTCTGGTATTGTATTTGAAGCTTTATAATAGCTTACATTAATTCATTTTGAGCACTTTGTTTGCATTTTGACTGTAGTGTCCTGTCAAACTTCAAAAGTTTGAAAGCAATCAGATCTTCTCATGCCAGACATCCAAAAATCTGCATGGGTGTAATCATGCAATTGGCATTGTCTCTTCTGAAATAGTGATTTAAAATGTTGCTTTCCACTGAAAAGGGAAAAAAAACAAATATAACAATTAAAATCTTGTTTTCAAAATACCCCATGAGATCACACAGATGATTAAGAGCCTATTGTCATCCCAGAGGCTTTTTGTTTTTCCACCTGCAGATCTTGACTTTTGTTCAAACTTAGATGAGACTTTTATCCTGTCAGACTCATGTAATGTTGTTTTTGCAAAGGATAAATCACTTGCCAGTGGTGGTGGCTTTGTTGGTCTAGCTGGGGAGAATATTACAGTGCCTTTGATTGAGACCCTAGGTATGTTCGTTGAAGTCACTTTTTTTTTTTTCTTTTTTTCTTTTTTTTTTTTTTTGCAAAAACCCTAGGCAGTAAAGCTTATAGCTTTGTTGTATCTAAAGATTTGTACAAGTGTTTCTCCAAAAAAAGGCAAAATTGCCAAAGTTTCCCTGCTGCAGCTTGATTTAAGCAGGCATGTTAGAAACCATGGAAAGTTGCTGCAGCTGATGGAAGGTTGAAGCCGAGTTATTATAATGATTTAATTTTGCAAGAAAGGGGAGATTTGCAGGGGTCGTACCCTAGATACCTGACTCTGTTACCCATATATCAGAAGGCTGTTTGAGAGACAGGCATTGAAAGGCAAATGAACTCAATAAAATGCCATAAATCAAAACCACCTTTTACTTTCCAAATGTTGCATATCCCTTTATGCAATTATCATATAAGCTGCTACTAGCTTATTTTAATAATTACAAATTTAAGGAAAGTTTAGAGAAGAACACTGTAGTGCATTAGTGCACATTGCTTTAATGTCACCTCTGTTCCATCTGTGCCACCACCTGGCTCTGAGACAACCAGCCGGCAGTTCCTCCTCTGAGTCAGATTCCCATTTTCCAGGTAAAATGGGAGGGGACGTTCTGAATATAAACCCATATAAATAAAAATAGGCGTTGTCTCTTCCCTAAGCTGTAAAATTAAGACACTAATCCCCATCTTAGAGCACTCTGAAATTCATTGTGCCCCTGTTTAGAAATTGTTCTGAAAATTGCAATAATTGTGCTTGCGAGCCTTATGTGTAGTTTTGTTACTAGATCTTTAAAATATCTTTATATTTTAAGATCTTTGGGCAGGCTATGCCTACTTTATGTAGCTTCTGTCACACTGCTAAAAGGACATTACTTGTTTCAAGGCACGGTCAGAGAAGGATCTGCTGCAGCGCTCCTAGGTTGCAGCTGTTGCCCCAAATGTAAGGAAAGGGACAAAATGAGACCCCACTGGCAGATCTTCTCAACTCTTGGGCAAATCATCCCTTTGAACTCTTAACTGTAGAATTTATAATTCAATACTATAACAACGAAGACAATATTACAGCACATGGAATTTTAATATGTAATTTGTAATATAATTCCATGCAATAAAAGGGTTTTACTTGTATTTTATAAACATCATTATAGAAAGACAAAAGAAAACTGTAGTAAACTGTATTTCAATTCTATGTAGATGTATCATCACTATAGAAATGAACACATTTGAGATTCTTGTTATTTTCTCAGGTGATCCTAAGTACAGTAAAATGCCGTTCAGCAGGAATCTGAGTGAAAGGAATTAGCTTCAGTATTTTTGCTCTGTTTTCCGAGTGGAAGAGAAAAACAGGATGGCTTCCAGAAATAAAAGAAATTCTACAGGTACCAAATTTAATTTATGGAGATTTGTTAATTGTATGGTAAATTTCCAAATTTTTTTTCATCAGCATTTGACACCACACCCTTCCTTTGTGCCCAGGGCTTTACATTTAAAAACTTAGTGAAAGCAGGAAAAAACAGCATATTAGAAAAATTCGGTTAGTGCAGCTGGACTTGCTTTGTGTGTTAATTCCAGAATTCTATTCCTCTGCTTTCTTCTGCGAGGAATATCTCCTAAATGCAGCCTGTCTCTTTAAAGAAGGATCTTTCTAGTCTCTGATAACATAGGTTGGATAGATGTTGTAAAAAGACTTAAAATCTTTTACAAATTAATTAGGAATAGGGAGATGCAATTCAATGGTTCCTAGGCACTGATGATGAAATCTGACCTCCACTGAAGTCAATTGTAAGTGGAATTACAGCACAAAGCGTTTCTCCTGCCACCGCAAAGTTGTGGCACCTCACTGGTACCTCCCACAATTTACATAGATCCTCTACTGGAAGATCTAAAATGATGCTGACTTGTTCCCTTCAGTC